TTATAATTTTTACAAATGCAATTGATATCCAATTATCAAAAATAATAAATATGTCATTTAAAATACTTATTAGTTATTAATTATGTTTGATGTCATGATTGGGACTTAGGTGTTGTTACAATTAAATTAAAAACTTATAATATCTATATTAATATAAAATTATACATTTTGTATGTATGTATATATTCAACTATGTATTTTGCATATAATGCATATAATACAGTTTTTACTTATTATAGGAAAAAAATTTCATATAAATGTAGTTTAAAAATTTAAATTCCTATAGGTACCTGGTACATATTATGTAATGTATTATACTAATGTTGTGTAAATATTGTGCGACTTCCATGTGATTAGCTTTGCACTCCATGCCATAACTGATGAAATTAGTTTTATTATTATTATACACCTATCTATTGACCTATCAATTTTTTTGTATTCAATAACATGGATATTTGAGCAATAGGTATTATTATTCAAAAAATAAAAAATTGATAATCCAAAAAATAAATACATTTTTTAAATAAACTGAGACAAAATTGTATTAAATAGTTAGCATATGCAGTATGTAAAATTATCATATATTAAGGTATATTACCTTATTTTAATATAATTATTAAATATTAAATTTTAATCGCATTTCATTTAAATCCATTTTTGAAAATATCAAATAAACACTTTTATGAACACTGCACAAACACCACTGTCTTTATTACAGGTTTATTACAGACTGTTACGATACGATACACATAGTTCGATATACAATAATCAATTATTATGGGCAATAAAGATATTTATCTTTATGTATCGAGAAATCGATAACATAAAACCGAGTTAAGATTATCTGTTCGATCGGGAGTGTCAATTTACAACATTGCCTAAAATAATACGGACATTTTGATAAAACTATGATATATTCAACAATGCCTAACATCATCAGTAATTATCTACAATGACTAGGAAATCACGACAATTCCTAAATTATCATTTTTTCTGACAACATATATATATATATGTAATAGATAAGTCAAATAAGTAATAATAGTTAATAATAAGATTTATGTAAAATCAAATACAAACAGGTTTATATTATTTATAATATTTATATGTTGATCAATCTGAATTTTGAATGTTGGGAAGATATTCTATATTTAAATATAAACCATAAACTTTTTGAAATTTGCTAGTATAAGTTTACTATGTAAATATGGTACACTATTTAAACAGAGTAACAAATGTTTCTAATACATACATAATATCTATTATTTATATTCTTAACACAGTTTATATCAATAATTTAAATTTTGACGGATATACCTATTTTCTACTATAATCGAATTATATGAATAATATCGGATTATTCGTATAACCATTAAGATCATTCGAACAAAACTATCCAATTATTACTCGATAGTTCCCATCATTAATTTAATTAGTTTCATTACGTGTATTCTGATCGTATTTATAAATAATATTATTATTAGGGCACGGATTTTGTAATACTCAACAACTAGTAAAATTTATTGTAGTATGGCACTAAAATATACTAAAAATTGCACTTAAAATATTAAAAATTTCACTAAAAAATTGAACCATATGTAATTTTTTTAAATTTTCAAAATCAATGTCCTTCGGTTTGAAGCCAATGAGTTTTTATACCTTGAAAAACTTCATTCTATGTTGTTTGATATTAGCGAAGCGTACTTAAAATAAACTAAATCACTTACTGCAAAATCTTCAGGTAAACCTTCTAACATCATTTAAAAAATCGTTTAAAAAGTATAAAAAAAAAGCGAAATTGTGAAAAACTTAAAAAAAATTTGTTAAAATTTTTTTATAAAATACCTTGGTCTAACCCTCGATCAACGCTTAACCTGGGCTCAACACATACGTGAAAAAAAACTATCCCTAAACAATCAGTTACGTATGCTTAAGAATTTAATTGGTAATAAAGCCACCCCTATTAATATCAAACTTCTCCTGTATAAAACCTTATCAAAACCCATTTGGACATACGGATTGCAGCTATGGGGAAATGCTAAAAAGTCAAACCTGAATAAGATTCAAGCTTTCCAAAATATGACCTTAAGAAAATTATTAAACGCGCCTCCATACATATCAAACCATACCCTACATTTAGATTGTAACTTAAACACTATTCATGACGAAGCTAAACGCTTTTATAAAAAATTTCATAACTGCTTATCCTCTCATTCAAATCCACTTATTAAAAACTCATCATCCCTCACAATCCCAGGTAGCCCTCCAAGGCGACTTAAACGTAAACGGTGCAGAGATTTATTACTTTAATAAAAACATATAAGATTTTACTAAATGTATAATTTATAATACAATTACTAATATATAACTAAATCGAATATGACTAAATCAAGTCGAAAGTGTCATCAGTGGGTGGCTTCTTTCCTCAAATTTATGTATATCACCCTATTTGTTTGTCTCCCTTATCGCACATAGGTATACTTATTATGTCTAAGATATAGATTGTTCTAAAAATAAAAATAAAATTGTTTTATAAATGAGTAAATTCAATAAAATTGCAATAAAAATCCAAAAGTTCCCAAAAATTGCACTTTTAGATTTTAGTTCGTATTTACATGATACGCATTCCAAACTTACTAAGCAATTAATTGAAAAAGTAGAAAAAAGTTGCAAATGCAACAACATCCGTGCCCTAATTATTGTTATGTAGTATTTGATCGTTCGAGCTTGACACACATAATAAATGAATTCTTACCGGCTACTGTACTATTAACATTTTTATTCCGATGAAATCGATCAAGCGAGATGACACCGGGTACCGGGCACGCGCATACTTGCAAAGCAATAGCAGCCCCATCATCCCTCCACCAGTCCCTGTAACTTAGTGACGCAAGGTCGCGCTTTCGCTGTCGTCTCCATACAAGTTGCTGTTGTCACTGAACAGAGCGTACCGTTCTTCCATTTTCTCCTACACAGTTTATTCCATAGATACGTGTCGACCATTTTGGACTTTTCGCGCGATTGTTCACGGCGCCTGTCGGACGTCGTATTGATACAGTTGTCGTATGATCGAATTCATCAGCTAATTATTATTTTATTCCAAGTACCTACTTGCTATATTTATTTAGGTAGGTACTACGTACAAGTTTGTTTTTGAACAAGAGTCTCTTGGACACAGGGTAAGTAATACCAATAACCAATATATCAATTTATATCAATTTTATTTTGTTTTAAATGTTTTAATGATATAGGTATTGACGTGGTTGAGTCTAGCAGTCTAGCTTATTCATTAATTTTTGTTAAATATGAGTTCACATTTAATATGTTATATTCTATCATAAACTTTCTATCTTACGCGTTTCATTAAATTTTTATTTTACATTTAATTAACGTCATCGCTACTCAGTTATTTATTGGCCAGTGTCCACCAGGATTCCTACGACTTAAGAGAGCGAGGGGCTCTGATTTTTGTTTAATTATTTATGTATAAAAATTATTATGGCTCGATTATTATTTACGATATAATTTCGATCTTAACAAATAATTTTACTTAATTAAAGAATTATCCCGTCTTTTCGTACATAACTCTTTAATCTATATTATGTTATCACTCTTATCATTTACTTGTTTATATCGTTCAACTATTGTAATAAATAATTATTATTGTTTAGCCAATTTATTTTTTAATGTTGCTTATTTGTATTTTGAGAGCTTTGGACATATAATAATTTAAATTATTATTTTGTGATTGCTCTGTGCTATATTTAACAATATTTATATTAAAATAAAAACAAAAATTCGCGCTTTCTACAGTAGGTAGAGAGGGTTTGTTGATCTGTAGTTTTCTCGAGTATACTATATACGTTGAAAAATCGATTAACTTTCAAAAGGGAAAGTGTTTACTCTTCACTATCTATCGCGCCATCATTATTTACTACATGTTTGCAATAATATTAATATAACTAACATGAAAACATTTGAAATTAATATATTAGAAATATATAAGAATTTACTACGCAGGTCTAAAATAAGTATTTTTAAATACATAGGTGGGATTACATGTATGAAAAGTTTTAGATGCCGACATTTTTCATGTAATGTTTGTAATATATAATATGTATGTACATTCATCGTTAATTAACGTGTTCTGTATAGTAAACCGAGTGAAAAATCGGATAAGCCAAAATAGTATTGGTTACTATTTAATTAATATTAACTAAAAAATATTATTATTATTATTATTATTAATATTTTGTAGTGGGAGAGGAGGGGAAATTATTGAAACTCACAATAATATCAAGTTTACGTGGCCCACTAGGGAAATGTCCAAGCAACCCTAAATAGCTATTATACATATATTTTAATTATTGTTCTAACATTAATTACATTTAGTAAAATGTTTTATTTGTAAATTTGTTTCGATATTAACTAATACATAAGAGGGAGGGGGGATTAGCTTTCCCCTTCCATCAAACAATTATATCATTGGTAAAACTGAGATTGTTAGTAGATTTTTTAGTATGCCTAAATTATTTCGTATATTGAATATTATAAATTTGTAAATGGTAAATATTTATCCTTTATCTTAATGTTAATGTTAATTTATTTTCAAATATTTTCTATTATCCTCTTCAATTATTTCTATAAACGACAATATTATATCAATTAGTAATTATTATTATAGACTATAATTAATAATTACAGTATATTAATATCTCAATAGGTAATATGTAAATAGATCAGCTAAATCTAAATATTTCTAGCATAAAACAACGGCATCAGGTAGATAAAAAGGTATATTATGTGGAATTATGTATCGTCCAGTAGTTTATTATTCTCACCACTATTACATGACCTACTCGATAAGTACTCTTGACATCTATTGTGGTAATAGAATAATCATGCATTTGCCTACATTTTTTCAATTGATTATCATTGTTTTTATTTTTTCAGATTATTATAATGAAAGTCTCTAAGTATTATTTACTTGTATTATTTAAGTTCAATTTTTATTTACATATCATTGAAGTAATATGCAGATCTGTCCAATCATTGCTGAAAGTCATGAAATTTGTAACTAAGGTATTAATATATTTTTGTAAATTATTATATTTACGTAGTTTAATAACTAATAATTTAACTTTGAAGAGTAGGTACATTTAACAAATTATTTTATTTATAAATATATTGGCGTACATTAGCTATTATTAAATTTAATATTTTTAAATTCATTTTTGAATCATAAAATAAAAATTAGTCCTTCTATTAGGGTCTTAGAATTATCTAAATTTCAACACTGCTTGATATTATAAAGTGAATACCCCTTCAGGTAAAGAACTATTATAACATTTATAACATTTATTTTCATTTTTTAGCTTTTTTTCTTCGATAATAACTTTTAAAACATTTGTTAGTTGTTATTAATGATTAAATTAAATATTTAACTTTCTTGTTGGTATTTTAACCAGATTACTTGACATTGTTATTTATAAAATACAATTTTAATGATATCGTTTTACATCATTTCTACATAGATTTTATTTTTTATTGATTAAATTAAATTAAAATTATAATTGTACATAATTTATTGGTTTAATTCTCTACCTTGTAGATGATAATCCTCATTTAATAAAGAAGAATTTGTTCTTTACTCTCAATTATTTTGTAAACTTTCAAATGAGAATTTAATAATCAGGTAAAAATGTATTAAAGTTCCAAGAAAGTAACATTCTTAACATTAATATAAACTTTTAAAACCGAATTCCAACAAATTTTAAGGACTTAGTCCCCTCCAAGTTCCCTCTCTATTTTCGCATTTTTACTAGACTACTTAAGCAACATAATCTACTTAATATACTTTATTTACTTTTTTGCTAACTAGCTACTTGACTTTTTAATCAAAAACATGAGGTATACTCTAATCGAATATTTATGATAAATAAATGTATGTAAAAATATATATCGTTACACTAACGGCAATACCTCTTATCTACATTTTTATGATTTTTCAGGAACAACAAAAATCTGAATAAATATTAATGTAATGACATTTCAAATAAATTTAGACACTATTTACATAAAATGTATAGTTTAATCATAATAATATGTTCCAAAAATAACATTTTACCAATTGGTGTGAAGTTAGTGTAGATACGTGGAATCACCATGATATAATGTGCAGAATGTGCAGATACAGGCTATTACCTATTAAGTTTATTTTTGCATAATATTAAACTATCTATAATAAAATTGTATAATTTATTAAAGTGTTAATCATTATAAGGTACTTAACAATAGGTTAGGTTATTCAGGTTATTGTATTAATAAAAAATTATTGTTTTTTAACTGAAATACCTACTTCAATACTTAATATTCTAAATTACGAAATAATAAAATTAAGGATATCCATAAAAATATTATTAGAGTAGTAATAATAGGTATTTATATTTTTTTAACAATTCAATGAAATAACATATAAATCAACAAGATATGTTTAACAAAATATAACAGATATACATATTTAAAAATAAAAAAAAAACAATCAGAATTCTAATAAGACGTGTACTTAAAATTGTTTGATAAATAAAAATAAAATTTCACTTCTCTTGATATAAAATAAAATAACTAACATAAATTTAAATTAAATAATTTTAACTGGTTTAAACTGTTTTATACATATTATAATAAATATATTTTTTTAATATTAAAAAACAATCAGACTTCTAATTGTATGAAAAAACTTAAAAATAAATAAAAATAAAATTACACTTGATATTATAAAATAAAACAACTGACTTATACTTAAATTATTTTTTCTAATAAATTCAAAATTAATGTTCAATACATAATATTAAACATAAAAATAAAATGATTCAGACTTCAAAATTACAAATATAGTTGTATTTGTCTTGTCTTAAATTAATTTTTTTAACTCAGACTTTAAATTCTTATCTTTAGGTCTTTACTTTAATAATATTAACAAAATATTTTTTACACTACTTACTAGGAATGTAATATAAAATGTTAACAGTGAGACTATATTTTAGCAGCTTTGGTTTTGAAAGTATTCAAATGGAGTAATGTATCATAAAAAGAATGAGTGTCAATGGGCATAAATTGTTTTAATTTTTGCACATCATTCCATTTGGATTTGATTAAAGGTAAAGAGCTTTTGTATAATTTTTGAAACTGAAACTCTCCTTCGATTTTGTTGCTTTAATTTTGGTTATTTTTTTCTAATGATTTTCCTGGGTATTTCACAGTATGGTTCACTAAACAAAAGTTTATAATAAATTTTAAACAATGACGGATCATACAGCAATGCCCGAATATCTTACACTTCTGGTTCACCTTTACTTACTTCTGGCCTAATTGATGTATATTCTTTTAGTGACTTAAAATCATAGAAATAATCATATTTTAGTAATACTGCTTTATATGCATTCGGATATTTTCTAGCTTCAGTAGTTATTCTGATATAATCAGAAGGTAGAAATATATCTTTATTGCAAAGTTTTCTTTCTATCATACTGTGAGTGCTGTCACACTCCAACTCCATTTGGGTATGGCCTTTTATTAAAAATTTTTGCTCAATAGTTACATTTTGATGTTTTGAAAATTGAAGAAGTACATTGGACATAATAATATTCTTATTTTGATAGCCACAACCGTCTGAATAAATTATAATAAGTATTTTTTCAACATATACTGCTGTTAAATGCTTAATTAGTATAATAATAAACACCAAAGCTTCTAAGTCGCCTACGCCCTCATGCCACCAATCATAACAATTAATAGTGGCTAAATTGTAAATAGTAAAATTGTGGCATTTAAATTTCATAGAGTAATACAAAGAGCTGGCTTCCAAAGATGGATAAAGTTTAACAGCTTGCATATCCATAGTAAAACAATATTCTTCATTTTTTTGTGCCCTACTTTTATCTAACTGTTTTTCTTCCCTAACACTTTCTTTGTATGCCAAGTGTACTGCATAATCATCTTCACTTATTTGATTCATTTCATATGATGAACAAAAATCACATTGATCTTTACAAGGGCTAAAGATGTAAATTTTGTTAACTTTCATTTGATTATTAAAATAACATTTACTAAATGGTTTTAATTCATCTTCATTGCATTTTTTGGTATAGCATTCATAAATTTCTTGAAAACTGAAGAATGGACCTTCTAAGTACAACCTCTTAGATCTTTGTCTACAATAGTGTAATGGCATTTTTGGTAAAATTTTAAGCCAGTTATTGAAATGTTCTACACAGGTATGTAAAGCACTTTTTCTTGCCAAAGACTGGGGTGATATCTCATTAACAGTTTTATCAAGAGAGTGCTTAGAATTTTTTGGAAGGCCATTAGTAGATTCTCTAATCCAATTATGAAGCATACACTCATTAAACCCTAGTGTTGCTAAAAACATTTTTTCACAAACAGTTACAGGAGGAAAATCTTTATACTTTAAATTATACTCATAAGTATTTTCCCGTCTACTATCATCACTATTCCCTTTAGTAGATCGCTTTGTTTTTATTTTATTAACCAAACTACATGCTAGTGTTTTCTTTTCTTCCCAAGTGGCTATCCAAAATGTAACAAAAATTTCTAACCTTTGGGTTTCATCAAAAGTGTTACAAAATTTATTTTTTGCTTTTTTACAATACAGAGACAAACATGTTGGTTGAATATTCCTTGGTGGTTTTAAAACATTGTGACTTACTACTGACTTTTTTTTTCTGATACCCAATATATTCTTTACCATTCATTCTCAAACGTTTTGTAGTTTCTCTTTTCCACTTATCAGGTTAAGGTATTATATTACGACGCTTTTCACAATTTAAAACATTTTCTTCACTATCCTCAACAATTAAATTTATGTCGTTTAATTAAAAAGCTTTAACAAATAAAGAATAATTTTGTAAGTTTTCATTACTAACAACCAAATTATTGTCAATTAAACTAAGCTTTAAACTATTGTCAACTATATTTTTTGATTCAAACTCAACATTATATTGTTGTGGGACTTCATAAAATATTATGTTATTTGATTCATTTTCTACAAAATATTGAGTATTATCAGGGTACATATTTTGTGTTAGTAATAGTAAAATGTCATCATTTTTTACAACATTTACATTATCCAAATTGGCCAGGCCTGTATCAAAATCTTCAAACACAAACTCCGCAGTAGATAAAAAATCATTGAATGTTTGATTTCCATGATTTATATTTGGCTGGACATTTGTATTTGTTTTTACATTATTTCTATATGATAAGTCTAAAATTGTTTTTAATCTTCGTTTGGACATATTATTTGTCTACGAAATAACAAAAATATATTCAGTAAAATTAATTTAATATAATAATATAGTGTAGCATAAGACAAATTTCAATAATTTTGTAAGTACCTTTACTAGCGATCTGTGATACCACGTAATTACTGAAAAACAGTTTTTGTGGATTATGTCAATAACACGTATCTGCAGTTGAGTACATTCAAACTTGTTCTGAGGGGAGGGGGGATTAAAAAATAACCAACACAAAAACCTTCCTTTTAAAACCTACCTATTTTTCTAACAATAAAATACATATAAATATTAATAAGTAAAATAATAAAACAAATACAAAGATTAATATATAACTTATGGCAGGTTAGTATGTAATGAATATTACGCAGTGTTCGCGCAAGTTATCGAGTGCGATAACTTCAAATAGATATTAATGCACCACCGAAAGATGAACTAGAATAACCGTGGATAATTGCTTAAAGAATGACCATACAAAATATAAACATTCGAGTTGTATGTAAAGTATGGATTACAATATAATATGACAACGTATAAATTAACGTATCACCAACGACTGAAGTGCTGACATACAATGATTGATAATGAGTAGCAGATATCACAATCACTTTCGTCGTGGTGATAATAATATTAAGAAAATAAGAAATAATAATAATAATATTCGACCAAACACGATCTAAACAATCTGGTACAATTTGTATATATAAAAATATAAGATATGAAATAATGACAGTATTTGTGAGGACTCCGTTCCTATGCCGATGTTGT